AATATATATCATAAAATAATAAATCAAGCCTTCTGAAACATGGAGTCAGAGCCTCATCTCTTCCCTCATCCTCAGACCCCTGCAAACACAGTCACAGGCTACCAAATCTTTTTACAGCCCTGGACAAGCCCTGTGCAAATATAATGAAAATATCCAGCTGAGGCAAGGGGATGTGCCAAGAAAACTGAACACTGCAGATCTGTGGGAGCCAGGGAACAGATCTGGGTTTGGGGTTGGCCACTGCACTTAGCTGCTCCTCAAAAGCAATGAGAGATGTTCAGTTCCTATAGCTGTGAACACTGGGGACAGCTGTTGACACCTTCTGAGGTGGCAGAAGTGGGACAGCGTTGTCTTACATATCAAGAGTTCTGTTATCATTATAGCGTAAGGATTCCATATCCTCAGAGTTCCATACCTCCTCGATGTTTCTCACAGGCAGCTCCTCTAAGCACTGACTGTTCCTGGTCCTTGCAGAAGCCAACTGACTCCAGATCCCACCACTCCACTCTTTTATAACCCTGTTCTTACTGGCTACAGGTGGGGCCTGTTAACATCAGGCCTGCTCCTGATCTTTAGTAATTGGTCCAGCTGCAGCTCTTTGGGGGATGAGATTCCCTTCTATACCACCTTCATTCACCCACACTGTATCCCCATACAGGACAGGTCTGTTTACTGCCATCCCCAAGCCCACAGGCCACCAACCCTCCCAAAAACTAACAAAGGCACTCCCTCAGACCTGAAATCAGCAGGTCAGACCTGGCTACAAAGCTTGGAGAGCTGCCAGTTTGTCATCTTAATATTCCTTTCCCTATGTTCCTTGTGTGCTATGGATCTCATGTGAAAATAAACATAAGAAAAATTAACTGGCTGGTGACACGAAAAGAGCTCAAATGAGCTAAAGCTGGAAATAATTTTGGAAGACCATCTAATAACTGAAGAGAGTGTGGATAAATGCCTTCAACTGTCTTTGCACTATAAATGGTCAATACATACTTTTGAAGTTTCTATTTTTTCTTTTGTTTTGTTTTGAAGCAAAGGAAACAGGCTTTAAAAAATATGAACAGTATCAAAACTCTCAAAGGAAATAATAATTCTTCTTAAAGTATTCTTCTGAACAGTCTTGACAAGTGCTTAGAGATCCAGTAAAAATCTCCCCAAATGTCAAATATTATGACTCACTGTGTCATTCTGAAGACACCACTATCAAAATGTAGGAGAATTCTAGGCTAGGTACCAAACACAGCATCCAAAAAAATTGATATTTTTCATGCAAAACTTGGAACATTTAAGGATCCTTCCTGTTATTTTTCCCATCTATCACTCATTAGGGAGCTCACTTGGGAACGCCTTGCAACTGGAGCAGCCTCATCTCAGGAAGAAAATACCTCTTGGTCATTATTTCAGGCTCCACCAATGTTCAGTAGATGCTGTAGAAAGCATGCCAGGGAAATAAAACACTTTTTGAAAAGCAAAGCTCAAGGCACCAGCCACACAATGTCTTTCTCATATTTTATGCACTCAGAAAATTATCTGGGCCAAAAAATCTGCCCTCAGACCTGAGAGCTCAATATTCATTGGTCGCTTTAATGTCAGTATCAGAGGAAAAATGTGATCCTCCTTTTTTTTGGAGTGACACAGGGCTGCTTCTCTGTGCAGCAATTAAAGGTCTAGTCCAAATTTCTCACTGGATAGTTATGTGAACCTAAAAACAGACTGGACATTCATCTTGGGCCAACTCCTAGCAGCACTGTTTCTCTTTGTGGAGGATATTTGATCATGCTAAAACAAGAGAGAACTTCAGTGTAAAGCTTTCCCAAGTGTAGAAAACCATCCAACCTCCCCATTTTCCTCTCTCCTACATGTTCTCAAATCACAGCTCCAGTTTGGGTTTCTGAAGGCCTTCTATAAAACAGAGGAAAACCACATCTACATTTATTTTATAATCAGTTAAACAACTCTTTGAATCCCAAATAATGCTTTTGTTCCATCAAGGCACACTTATTCTCTTTAATCAAATCTGAAGAGAATAGGTAACATGCAAGCAAACAGAGAGCAGTCTGATAAACCACAAAATATTTCAGTTTTCAGATTAGAACCAAGTTATAGTGACAGGTGGAACTTTAACAGGTGGATCTCTCTTTGCTGGTAACTCATGCAAGAAGAAAAAAATAGAAAAAAGGAAAAAAAATAGAGAAAAAAAATCCCTGAACAATAGCCAAGGAATTCTGCTCCTTCAAAACCACCTCCCTTGTCACCTTCACTGACATTGTCTTAAAGAAACACAGATTTATTTATTTATTTTAATTTTTTTTTGCCTCTTGCAACATTTTCCTGGCCTTATTTTTCAACAGAATCATGAATTTCATGGGGCTTTCCACAGGGCTCATTGCTTATGAAGAGCTGCCAAGAAACACGCTCAGGCTCTTCTGAGCCCTCCCCACGTCTCAGAGCGAAGCCAAAACAACAATAGGGCAATAAAGATGACTTTTACACACAGTTTAATAATCATCTATCTTTTTTCCGTTCTGTGCTGTCATGAGAGCTATTTATTTCATGCCCCATTAGACTTTTAAAACCAGGATCCAAGCTCTGCTATTCCTCCCTAATCAGTAAAAGAGAAGCTGGATGCAGTAAAAGTATTTTACTTATTTATCTTTAAGTGAAACTGCAGTTCTGAAAAAAACAATGTACAGCACCAATTTGCAACCAATGAGTTCAACGATTTTTCTTTTGTTCCATGTGTCAGTTGGGTGATACTTTGTTGTAATATACTGACAAAACAACACAGAAAATATCCCCGTCCTTAATGCAAGAGAAGCTTTAGTAGGGCCTGCAGGACTGGCAGTAAATATGCTGCTGAGAATTTCACAATATTACTTGAGAAAAGGAACGTGCTTATGGTGAGGGAAGGATGGAGAAAGCCTGGCCTGCATCCACAGCATGGAAACTTTTCCAGTGCTTCAATAGTGTGGTGCAACATTGTGAATTCTGCCAGGTGAGTCTGAGTGGAACTCGTCTCCTGGCTG